TGTAAGCTTTAGATTATTACCATTTTACAACCTCATAGATCTTTGAAACTGAGAAGAAAAAGTCTGATGGGACATCTATTTAAGAGTGATCCTTAAGATACTACACATTAGTACTTCTTAAAATCTGCATTCATATGATATTGCTATTGCTGTCCTAGGACGGGCAAGCAGATGAGGACTCCAGACGTCTGAGAGGACCCAGTGGTGGCTTTTTGAAAGGAGAAACAATTCACAGAGAGTTTGCTTTGGTTAACTTCCAAAGCCTGGGGCAGATTATACACCCTCCTTACGCTCAGTCTATGGAAGACCAGTCTACTCTGAGACTTAAGGTGGAAAGAGAAGGATCAGCGGCTGAAATGCAGTCCTAGAAAAGATTTTGTGGTGCTCCTACAGTTTCTAACCAAGTTAGAGCCCCCTTTCCTTTTCCATCAATGCCTCAGGGCCCCAAACAAGCATGGTTCACAGACTTCGAGTTCACAAAAGTCTGTGACCCGCACCTTGGACTCCAGACGGGAAAGAAGGGACAGGTTCTCTTTGGTCGTTTGCTACATCCTAGTCAAAAATCCATTTTCAGTTGTCGCAAGAAGGGCGTTTCATCCAGAGTTATGATGAATGGCAAGTGTTGGTGCGAACAATAGCTTGCATATTGTTCAGTAGGCTGAGGTTTTCATCCTCAGCCACCTGATTCTGCCTTCCAGGGAAAGCGTGTGACGTTGACCTGGGGTGCCTTACCTTAGTCTTTCACAAATCATCGCTGCATTTCAAATTCCCGGAGGCAAAGGCACTACCAACCGGGATGCTCATGAAGTTGTCAAGAGCCATGGGCTCACCTTACCAAGAAAACCAGGGTGTAAATAATAAAATTTCCCGAAGAGTTTGGTCTCACCCACATTTTTGAGAAAAGGCGAATACTAGCCTGGCCGGTGTGGCTCAGTGGTTGAGTGTCGACCCATGCAACAAGAGAAAAGGAGAATACTAGAAGTGAAAGCAAGACTAATAGGAATGTGGGTACTGGGCCTCCTGGGTTGAACTTCTAATACTGTCACCTACTGTCCCTGTGACCTTGGGCAAGATGCCTTTCTGTGATTCCACTTCCTCGTCTTTCGAATTGGAATCCTAGTGATACGTGCTGTAGGGATTTGGTTGCCCCGATGAAAGAGAAGAGTTAAAAGATTTAAATACTTAGAGTACTTGCTAACTCTTATCACGACTATTTAGCAGTGGTTCTGACGTACCAAGATTTGGAATGTGTGGTATTGCAATGTTTTTGGTGCCCGGCCTCAGCGACAGACACCCCCCCCCCTCCCCGCCCCGGCAGCTGGTTTGACTACGGAATATTCAGGCTCATCCGTTCATGCGCAGGCAGTGTGGGTGGGAACCCAGAGCCATTCTGCTGGGAAGTTAAGGGGCTAGAGCTCAATGACGAGGCTGAATGTGCGTATTCCTGGCCTTGGGTTAGTTTTCCTTTGCAACTGGAAGAATCGGGTATAAGATATGTGCCACTCCGCACAACAGGCTTCACTCTGGGGTCAGGACGGGGTCAGCCAAAAACAACAGCCATAAGCAAGAGAAAATACTAGACACTGAGAACCACGAATCAAGGTTCCGGGGAAGAGGAACAGGTGCTAGATTTTGGAATGGATGAAACCATTCCACTGAACTGCCCTGTTTTTTGCTACCCGGGGACATTTTTGAATAAGCTTTCTACACATGAAGTAATTTTGCCTTCATGGGTGTAGTCCCGCACATGCTACTGTTAGGAAGCTGACTCCCAAGCCCAGTGTTTGGGGGGCCTCAGGGGACCCCAGTGCCTGCCAGCAGCAGAAGTGAAGGACCAGAAAAAGATACACAACTGCACCTCGAGATGGGACGGGGGAGAAACGAGCTGAGGAGCTAGATCAGCTCATGATGTTTGTATAAGATACTACAAGCTGTTTGGAGAGAGAGAGCTGGGGCGGGGGGGGGAAGTTGGGGGCCAAGTTGAAAGGAGAGCAGCAGTGAAGCAGCCAAGATGCCAGAGGAGAAGCAGAACCTGAACCCGGAGTCAAAGAGTCAGAGACAAAAAGGTGATGGAGCTTCACACCAAGGAGCGGGAGAGCCGGCCCGGCGGCCAAGGTGCACGCACACTGAGCACCAGCGGATCCCGCATTCACGGCCTGCCGCGGGCCTGGCGCACGACCGCGGCGTTGTGGGCAGGCAGACCGCGGGTGCCGGCGGCAGCTGGTGCCACAGCCACGCTCTGGCCGAGCTGCGGGACTTGGGCGAGATCCCAACGCTCGTGAGATCTGCCATCCGCGCGAGAACTGCACTGACCAATTACTACCTTCCCGTGGCCAGTTTATCCACCCACACTGCCTCATCAGGCCTTCAAACGGCCTCCAAGATCCCCCAGAAAAGGCTTAAATAATTTCCAACTAGGGCACTGAGGGGCTTAGACGAAAAGTATTTATAACGAATGACTTTTTTTAGACCGTTTGGAAAAGAACTAGGCGAAATGTATCGCTTGCTTTGGGGACATCTATGAACCACCTACTATAAAGCCCAGAACTGTGGATGTGAAGGCCAGGAAGACAGGATCTGGGCCCCAGGGACTTCCAGAGTCGGGGGTGGGCGCTGGCAGGCAAATTAGTAAGAATAATAACATGTCACACGTTCTATAACAGAAGTATATTGATGGTAAAACAGGGACATGAAAGAGAGAGTGATCAATTCCCTGTGGGTAGAGGGACGTAAAGTCTTTAGAGAAAGAGGTGACCCTTTAAAAACTAAATGCAGCCAAATCAGAATTTGAATATCTATTTTACCACGAAAAGGCACAACATACAATTTATTCACGATAAAAAGTGACATCTATTTAGAAGTGGATAGGCCAAAAAAAATTTTTTTAAAGAATTTCTCTCTTTTCAGAAATGTTCCACTCACCTCCTTGAAAACAGTGTAATTTACTGGTCAGGCTAGAAGTTAATAGTCAATGTAGAGTTTGCAAATTCAAACAGAAGTTTTGTTTTGTTTTGTTTTTCTTTTCTGTTGCAATGCGAAGGTCCTATTTACGATCTGGGGGCATGTATGTGTATCTGAACACTGGTGCCCAGACAGATTTCTGTTACTCTTAGAAATTCTTGCTTCTGGACACACAGCTGCCCAAACCTACATCGTTTTAAGGGTGGTGACTCTGAACGAAGTTCCTTTAAGCTTAGGGACTGAAAAGGCAACGCTGCAGCCGTGAGAAGTCACACTTCAACTGCTGGCATCCAGCGGGGGTTGTCATCTGTGTGCACAACGTGAAGGTATGTGGAGCACACGCCGGTGCCTTCCGTCACGCACTCTCACGGAGAGCAACATTTTCAGAGCACCATCCTGCAAAGCTCCCCTGACAAAGGACTCCATCCAAGTCCACTTGCCAGTGCGTTCAGTTCTGCTCGATGCTACACCCTGACCACTGTTAGGCGATCACCTTGGCCTCCACGCACGTGAGCCTCAGTCTGACTCCTCATCTGAGGAACATGGAGCCGGTTACCAAGGTAACGGACTCAGGCCTCTGAAGGGAGCCCTCAGACATCTCCGTCAGAGGAGGGTTGACACATTCCAAGTAGCCTCACAACAATCCCTGAATGTCTTCAGTGCATCGCTGCAACCTCCAGGTGATGCTCACGTCCTCTTCCCTCATTTGATGGCCGCTGCTTCCTGCCTCTACTCTCCCTCCAGGGCTGCGACAATGGGTGACAGGGCTGGACACCCCGAGGAGAGGACAGGTGTTGCGAGGGAGAAGGGGTGCGTGACCCCAGCGGTAGGCAGGGGGACGACTGCAGTGGAGGAACGTTTGGACCACAGGTCTGTAAGCTTGTCAAGAATTAGACATAAAGAGACTTCTTCTTCTTCTTCTTTTTTTTTACAGGAAGGTTGTTGTAAACAGGTTAGAAAGCACCTGTGGGGGAGGGAGGGGAGCGAAAGGGCAGCAGAATGGACAGCAGAGCCCAGGGTTTTAGCCTGAGGCCAGCCTGGGCTCAGGAGGAGGTAGGAAGAAATGCTACGTGCTGGCCCAAATCCCAGGACCTGGGGCCAGGGGAGAAGCTTACCCACAGTTGGTTAATACACATGTTTTTCAGTTGATCGACAGGGACAAGCAGTTCAGCTAATCACGTATGAGGCGAGAATAAGAACTCGGGGGAGGGGGTCTGTCCAGGAAAGCACCCTTCCCGAAGCAGGAAAAATAATCAAAATGATGTTCATTCACCTGCCACAGTTCAACACAGGACTTTCAGAAGGTATCCTACTATCTTTTTTTCACCCCAAATACAATCCATTATTAGCAGAAGCAAGAACTAATAGATTAATGAAAGGAAATATAAGACAACGTGAGTTTTAAAGATGTTAATAAAATCTGCCTAAGTAACTTCTCCATTTATAATAGCTTCACAGTTAAGTCATTACCATATTGTCTGAGACAAAAAAGAATATTTTTGCCAAGACCATTCCAAGAACCGATACAAAGACCACACCAGCTTCATAATCATTACATTCAGCTTTTCATCAGGAAAGTACCACATAAAAACAAACATAGAAGTGATAGAAATAAAACTTCTAAGCTGGAAACTTACTTTATTACTGTTAAATCATATGAATAATTTCTAATTGATTTGTATTGGGCAGGAATCTTATATTCCTGAACCATGTTCATCTATTTATCACAATATTCTCTATGACATATGGAAACTAATACATTGCTTCATTAATATTTATGGTCTTTCTCCAGTTATGGCTCAGAGATATTTAACATTCTAAAACATAAGCACTGATAATTACATGTTTTACATTTTATTCTAATTTTTAATACTGCCAAGATTATTTAGTAGAGCTAACTTTTAAACTATGTATTCTTTTCTCTCTTTACCATTAGCATATCAATCAAATTTGCATTATCCTGGTTTGCTCATTTTATTAAAAACGAATTCAAGGCACAATTGACTTTTCATTTGTTTAACAAGTGAAGAAATATTTACCCTGACAGCCATTGCATTGTAGAGATTCATCTTCATAGTATGATATGCTAACTGTGAATCAAGAAAGAAAAAAAAAAAAGATGGCATATTATTTCAGTGACACAAAGACAGTGCAGCCTACTTTTACATATAAAAGATAAGAATCTTTATACATAATACATAATAAGAGCTCTAGGCTTAGAAAAAATGAAATCAAACTTTGTATTGAAGAGATAGGCTTCCTAATACATAATGCAAGCTTAACCAGAAAAATCTATGGTAGTCAAACTAGAAGCTAATGGAGATATATGATCATAAAATGCTCTCCGCTGAGTTTGATAATCAATGGTGCTCTACTGAGAATAGAATAACAAAGCAGAAATATTCACAAGTGCTGGTGACACGTAGTATTGTATGATTTATTCACTGGGGTTCTTTTAGCCAAAACTCACAGAAACATAAAAGGAATTCATATTTCAAGACGTCTGGTTTAATGAAAAATTCAAAGAAATGCTGTCCTCAGTCGAAATCGTTCAAGGATATGGATGCGGCGACGGAGCAGAAGTGTGCCTTCCAACCATCTGTACAAAGTGCTCTGCGTTTAGTTGCCTCCTGAGGGAGCCTCGGGGATTTCGTTCCATTTAACATTCATTTTAGCACCATAAAACCATAAATACAATGATACCACGTTACAGCGAATCCCCTGATATAGTGAAGACCTCCTAAAGTCTTGGCTTCTCTCCAGGGAGACACATCCGTGTATTAATATACACATCTCTGATGGAGCACATTGTCATTTGGCAACGTAGCTTATTTCCATGGAGCTGCTGCTTTAAGTAAAGCCTCCTTATCTGTTCCATCTTTGTGTTGTTGCTGTTGTTAATCCTCGCCCAAGGATATTTTTCCAATGATTTTGTGAGAGGGAGGAAGGGAGGAAGGGAGGAAGGGTGGCGGGGAGGGAGAGAGAGAGAGAGAGAGAAACATCGATGTGACATTGATCGGTTGCCTCCTGCATAACCCTGACTGGGGCCAGGGACTGAACCTGCACCCCACGTCCGTGCCTTTGATTGGAATCAAACTCGTGACCCTTCGGACTGAGGGCTGACGCGCTAACCTCTGAGCCAAATCAGCCAGGGCTCTGTTCCATCTTTTATTTAAAAATATAAAATTAACAAAGTCCATGATGGAATAGATAAGGAAGAGTAAAGGAATAAAATACGTATTTTTTTCCAACACAAAATACAACTTTTTTTTCATTTTTAACCCATCAAAATTCATTCGACTGCTGTAACTTGAGCCCAGGCCGTGGGGGTCCTGTTTCAGGCAGAATCAGAGATTAAGGGCCCAGGCGTGGCAGAGGGCGGCTCCCTTCCCGGCAGCACCCAGGACTCTGTATGAAAGAGTCTCGCTGTGATTAGTGTTGTTTGGGTTGCTGGTCGGATCCAAAGCAAACTGTGTGTGCAGAACAGCAGGGCCGGCTGCTTCACCCCCAGTCTGCGCGATGAGGAACAGTTGGCTGCAATATGTTATTCACAAACGCACACGCCAGTGTGGCTTCATTTTTAATTCTCTGTCTTCGTTAGGGCGATCGAGGTATGAATCCTTGGTGTTTGAGGTGAATTCAAAATATGTGCTTTAACACCGTTATTTCTTCCAGCCATATCCAGGCAGGTATAAACATGAAGTATTTTCACACAAAAGAAACATATTGGCAATGATGTATTTGTAAAATACGTGGGTGCAGAAAAAGATGTTTCTTCTTTTTTATCATATTGCTGTTCAGTTGGCCTCAGTGAGTGTGTGTCACTTGCCACAGACCTGGGTTCAATTCCTGACGCTACTTTGAGCAGCTGCGTGGCTTTGAACAAGTTACTAAAGGTCTCCCAGTTGTTTTTTTTTGTTTTGTTAACCCTCACCCAAGGATATTTTTCCACTGATGTTTAGAGACAGTGGAGGGAAGGGAAGTAGAGAGAGAGAGAGAGAAACATCGATGTAAGAGAGACACATCCATCAGTTGCCTCCTGAACAACCCTGATAGGGGGCAGGGTTCAAACCTGCAACCCAGGTACGTGCCCTTGACTGGAATCGAACCCATGACCCATCGGTCTGAGGGCGGATGCTCTAACCGCTGAGCCAAACTGGCCCGGCAGGTCTCCCAGTCTTGATTTCCGTCCTGACACGACGGGACATTCCATACTTCATAGAGCTGCTGTGAAGATTAAAAGGAGACCGATGTGCTTGGGACACAGTGAAGGTCATCAGGAGAGGGAGTACCACTAGTGTTGTTAAAAGTGTGCAATTTAACTCTCAATAAAATCCAAAATGTCTCAGGGGCTTAATTTTATTCTGAACCAAGAGAAGAAAGAGAGACAGCTTTAAAGCCTGAGGATTCGGAACTCTCCAGTTAAAAGGCAGAAGAGGACTTTGATTCCAATGCATCGGCCCCGTGTGAACCAGTAACCAAAGGTTCACTTCTTCTCCATTCTCCAGCTGCTTTGGAAGGCACAGCCCCTCCCCCCGCTGGAGACCCACAGGTTAGGCAAAATGGTAAGCAGAATGTAAATATCGTGAACCTTGATTTTCAGCGACAGACGGAATTATTTTTATAACTCAAAAATGAATTTTTTAAAACAACAATTCTTCATAAATTAAATGGTTCTACCATAAGGCTATTAATACACCTTAACAAAAAAATTTAAATTCTATTAGTGTGATTGCCATACATACATTATTCACTGAATGATCTCAATTTAAAAGTACAACATTGAGTGGTTTGGGACTATGATTATATATATTTCATGATGAGGCATATAGAATTAATCATGTACATTAGGGTAGTGGGTGTACTTGGCTGCTTCCGGAGTGTGGTGATTAAAAACAACAACCCACGGTGTATTTGATATTAAACATAATGTAAACTGCATAACAATAAAACATAAAAAAGGAAATGTGAAAGCATGAGATATACAGCCATCCTGTACAGGGGATACTGATGGGTTCACCCAGGTAACACTCAGCGTGCTCCGCAAGTGGCAGACCAAAGCACACTCATCCCGTCTCTGGCACTGTCACCTACAGGAACGGCTGCGTAGGGACAAGGTGCACAGACATCACACAGTGAAAAGCAGGAAGGGTCCGGAATGGTAGGGCCATCGGGGTGTCCAGTGGGAAGAGCACACCAGTGTGTGCACGAGTGTGAGCACACACACCAGGCACCACAGGTCCTGGGTTAATAAGGAGTAAGAATCACAGCCCTTCCTCCCTAACAGGCCAAACTTTTCAAGGTTGTGATGCAGTGGCCCTGGACCTGTTACGATGGGCGAGTCTGGGTTATGTTCCAGACACAGCAGCGTGGAGGCTGGCAGGAGGGCCTGAAATGGGGGTGCAACGTGTAAAACAGCAAAAGAATACTAGTTGTCCAGGAAGCAAGAGAGAGTCAACACGCAAAAGAAGACTGGAAAGGCGAGGTTATTTGGGCTGACGAGGGCACTGCGGTGGTCAACCTGAGACACTTCAGCACTGGGTGAGCCAGCTGGTGTCATGTGCAGATGACGTAGGAGCCGGAGAGCAACCTCTGCTGTCGCAGAGTCTGCTAGAGAGACCCAGCGGTCTTTGCATGACTCCCTTGCTGTTAGACCTGGGCCACATTTGAGACTGTTGATAACTCCCTTTTCTAAGTTTCCTCCTCTGCTTCCTGCAATGACGTGTCTGCCTTTCTGTCTGTGATCCGCCTAGAGTTCTTTCTTCTGCCCAAGTCCTGCCATAAGCGGCCCACGGGCTCACCTCTCGGCCCTCTGCTCCACCGCTCAGATACTTTTCCCAGCCCCTTTTGGAATGATGACCCCAAAACCTTTATCTCCAGCTCCGACTCCTGATCTAAGCTCCTTTCAGTCATTCGCTTTCATAAGCATTTGGTGAGTGTCGATTATGGTGTTCCAGACATTCTGCGGAGACACGGTCAAATCTCCTTACAGACACCACCACACAGAGGTGTCCTAACTGCAGCACAGACTCAAAGAGCTCCCGACATCCCTTTGTAAGCTTCACGGAGTGCACCAGTCTGAATGTTTCCTGCTCTTGTCATCATTATAACCAGTAATCAGCTTTGCTGAGATAAAAATGCAGCTGCCTAGTAGCTTCCAAAACAAAAAGGTTATTTCTTGGTCATATGTGGGCTAAGGTTCCCTCCACTAAGCAACGTAGGGCTCTTCAGCTTAGCCCAAGGCTAAAGGAGCAACCCAGGAAAGGGAGCCAGAAAAAGCCACTTGAAACTTCACCTGGGAGGCAGCGTACATATGCCTGTCTGCTCACAATACATGGCCGAGCGCAAAGTGGATGGGTTGGGTGTGAGCCACTGTTTTATGAGGATGGGGCAGGGAATAAGTTCAACACATATTGCTACTCATCACCAGCCATGTTGACCATAGCAAAAGTCTTCCAACTTCTACCCCCGGGAATCGTTCATGTATCCAGTTGGCAAAAACGTCTGCAGGCTGTCTGTGTGACAGTGACTGTGATCCATTTGAGATATAACAGAGAGCGGTCCCTGCCACGCTGGGCTCCCAGCCAGAGCGAGGTGAAGACACAAAGGTACCGCAGCGATACTGATGCAGACATGGACGGAGCATTCGGAAGACACGCCTCCCAGCTCCAGTCTCTGCACTCAGCTTCGGGTCATCTTTAAGGAGCGTCTTAAATAAGAAGTAGGGATTCAGGCCAGGTGGAGGCAGGTCAGAGGGAAGAAGGACACCCCAGGCAAGCCAACAGTACATATTTGCAAAAACCCTGTAGAACACTGCACATTGTGGCAACAGGACATGGCTCCCTGTGTCCAAATATACTTCTCCAGGTGTAGCAAGAGGAGGGGCTAGATAAGAAGCAGCGTAGGACCATGAAGACGCTGACGTCACGCTGAAGAGTGTGAACTTCATGCCCTATGCTATGGTGAGGACTGTAGGCGTAGGGGAAAGAGGATGAGGTTTCGGTTGGAATCAACAGAATTTTATGAAGGAAAATGGAAAGGATTTCATGACCAGTAGGAGACACAGGACAGGGAGAAGGAGGTGGTGGGCAGTCTAGGATGATCAATTCTCAGGCTTAGATTTCTGGTTTATTGTTTGTGCCCCTTACCTGAATAAAGGAACATACAAGGAGGAGCACACTTGGGGTACACCTATGCAAAGTTTATGCTGGCTTTATTGTCTGAATTCTTTATTTGTTTCATTAATCTGAAATACTCCAAGTATCAATTAAGAGGTTTTAAAATTCTCTTCCTAAAGGTGAACTCTTATCAATTAGAGTTCTTCTATTTTTTCTTTTCCTTCTCCATGTCTTTTCATTTTACTTAGATGCAATTAATCAAGAATAAATGAAGAACAAATTCAAACCATTATAGTAGAAAGTAGTAACAAATCAGAAAATTAATGAAGCAGGTCACTGATTAGACGCCTTCTCGTTTTTTAGCAAGAAAATCACCTTTTCTTTCTTAATTTCATAAAACTCAAATGAGGTGTAAGTTGGCATGCTACCATATGCTTCTGCAAGTCTATTGGTGGTTACAGATGATTGACGTATGCTACATTTCTTAAAGCAAATCTTCAAAATATTCCAACAGTCAATAATAGAGAATGCTGCCCGGCCGGTGTGGCTCAATGGTTGAGCATCAACCCATGCACCAAGAGGTCGCTGGTTTGATTCCCAGTCGGGGCACATGCCCAGGTTGTGGGCCTGATCCCCAGTGGGGGGCATGCAGGAGGCAGCCAATTGATGTTCTCTCTCATCAATGTTTCTATCTCTCTCTCTCCCTCTCTTTTCCTTTCTCTCTAACATCAATAAAGAAAAAACAATAAGAATAGAGAATGCTAAGTAGCACAGAGAAAAATAGCCACATTTTTATATTTTGTAGAATTAATTTTGGGAGCTTCAATTCAACTGGTGTTCACTGGGCTATGGGCCAGGAATTAGTCTAAATATTGGTGCCCAAAAATGAACAAGCCATAGTGTCTACTCACCATCTAGAAAGTAGAAAGAAATCATCAACAAATAAGTATATATACATATATACACTGTGCAAGGTGCTTTAACCAGAACAAAACCTCTGGTGTAATGTAGGTGCAAACACGAGTCATCAATTCTCCATGGAAAAATCAGGAAAGGCTTTTCGGAGGAGGTCTCATACTAAAAATTAAATCCAATTTTGTCCTTATGTAAATATTTACCACCACTAACTTTAAAATAAGCAATAAATATGACTGAAGTGAACCAGTTATGGCATATTGTACAATTTTAATGCTAACGTATGTGAATTTTATATTTACCTTCACAGTAACTTGATAGTGTTGTCTTCCTAAGCAACTTCTCCAACATTTCTGAATAATCGTTGCTATTCCGTGTAAATGCCTGAGTGAAAAATATGCTTATAAGTCTGCTTTCATTGAAACAAAAATGTATCTTAAAATTTGCTTAGAATATACCTGCCTACAATTTTAAAAAATAAAATAAAATTCAAAGCCAAGGTAATGTGTACTTTCAAAAAGTGGAGTTGTTGCCCTGGCCGGTTTGGCTCAGCAGTTAGAGAGTCGGCCTGCGGTCCAGAGAGACCCGGGTTCGGTTCCCGCTGAGGGCACGTACCTCGGTTGCAGTTTGTCCCCGGCCCTGGTTGGTCGGGCTGGTGGCAGCCACTTGATGCGTCCCTTTCACGTCGATGTTTCTCTCTCTCTCTCTCTTCCTCTCTCTCCCTCCCACTCTATCTGAACAAAAAAAAAGGAAAAATGTCCTCGGGTGAGGATTAAAAAAACAACAACAAAAAGTGGAGTTGTCGCCCTGGGATAGAAGGCATAATTCCTAGAAGTAGAAAAAAGTCAAAGATAACTATTTAGTATTTTTGGGGGGCTTGTGATGGAACGATTTTTTTCAAATCTTAATTTTTCGTCAATGCTTACCCTCGAAAATATTCTTCAATGTTAAGACTCTAAAACAGGTCACAGTGACATGCTGAGAAATAAGCCAGGCACTACTGATGCAAACCACTGCAAGGCTTTAGAAATGAGTCCTGAGGTCAGGAAACAGTCCCTCATCATTCTCTCCTTACATTACGCAGCCTGTCCAAGCGAAGGCCGCGTTGCTCTGCGGAATTCAAGACTCTCTTTGCTGCCCTGTGTCTAGTTTATTGTGGTCAAAGGGGAAAACTTCACACTTTAAGTTGCACGTCTGGCTCCTACTGGCTAAGAATATGAGGGTGTATACAGTATAATCCCCAGCTCGCGTTCTGATTACTGATGAGGCAAATTCTTCCTCCAGTTTATGCAGGAAAATGTTTCTTCAGAATGGAAGGGAAACCACGGGACAGCGTGAGCGCTCAAGAAAAAGTAAGCGTTAAAGATCAACTTCAGCCTCTTTGCAACAGGAATGGTACCATTCTGGTGTCATTTTCCTTCATCAGCCTTTAACTTGCTTAATAAAACTGCAATGCTTCCTTTTTGTTTTTTCTTTCTGACCAGTCAACAAACTAATGGTCATAAATGCAAGCCCAGTCATTTGACACAGCCTATGGAATTTGAAGAAAAGAATTTTGTCAAGTATGTTTCCATATTGAGAATGGTTAAAAGTGGAGAAATGATCAATATAATTTAGTTTTCTGATGTGTAAGAAGGGACCCAAAAGAGTTACCTCTTTTTTAAAAGGACATCATATAAGTTATTAACTTCATTACAACTAACATGGAAGATTATTTGAAATGAGCATGCATCAGTTACATTTCGTGCCCTGCCGGTGTGGCTCCGTTGGCTGGGCATTGTCCAGAGCACTGAAAGTTTGCGGGTTCCATTCTGGGTCAGGGCACATGCCAGGGTTGCAAGTTCGATCCCCAGGAGGGGGCGGGCAGGAGGCAGCCAACAGATATTTCTCTCTCCCACTGATGTTTCTCTTTCTTCCTCTCCCTTCCTCTCTAAAAATCGGTTTAAAAAATCTTTTAAAAAAATAATAAATTACATTTTGTAAGGAGTATATTTTTAGGCTCTATCTGAATTTCCCACCACAAAGTCAGTGTACCTGATATATGTCCGGACTTGACATCCTCGAAACCAGCTCTGGATTTTAACAGCTGCATCATTCTCTTTTTCTCTAAATATATCCACAACACTTAAAAAAAAAATTAAAGCATTTCATCAGTGACTAATATGATTCTAAAGCAAGTCAATCTGTCAAACTTAATCTTTAATTTCTTCCAAAATGATCATTGTAATTTAAATGTCATTTTAAATAAAATTGAAATGCTAAATAGAAAAAAGCACTTCAGAAATCACGAGCTATGTTTTAAAAATTAACCGTTTTCTGAGAGGGCCGTGTACTTTCAACAGCTTTACTGTTTTTCATTTGTATAATCACTTATTTTGCAACTAATTAATTTCTAAGCGATGCCATAAGGAAGTAAAAAAGCAATGTGCTAGTTTTTCATTTAAAAAAAGCACCCGCCCTGGCTGGTTTGGCTCAGCAGTTAGAGCATCGGCCTGCGGTCCAGAAAGACCCGGGTTCGGTTCCCGCTAAGGGCACGTACCTCGGTTGCAGTTTGTCCCCGGCCCTGGTTGGTCGTGCAGGTGGCAGCCACTTGATGTGTCCCTTTCACGTTGATGTTTCTCTCTCTCTCTCTCTTCCTCTCTCTCCCTCCTACTCTATCTGTACAAAAAAATGAAAAAATGTCCTCGGGTGAGGATAAAAAAAAAAAAAAAAGCATGCAAGATTAAAATGCTGGCATATTTCACCCAATGCACAAGTTCAATGTGTCTAGGTCAAATAAATCTATCACGGAATGCCAATTCCAGATAGAATTCTCAGAAAGTCCACTTCCGTTACAGAAGGCAGGGGGAAGGGTCACAAGAATTATTAAGAGACAAAGATAAAAAAAAAATGCAGTCATTAGATTTATTAACTTACAGCAAGAAAAGTTTCATCAAGACAGACTTCCATCTTAATTTTACCAGTCATTCCAGCTCCCCTCGCCCCTCCCTTTGATGAAGTGATGCTACTTAGGTGATATCGGGGAGCAGGGGCTTTCTCCCCGATGCTGCTGGCCTATATTAGCACTCGATCTTGCTGAATGAGTAACGGCGAGTCAGCTATTTCTCACTTTTGAAAAAACTTCCCCAGAATCGTGGATTTTTTTTTTTTTTTTACAGAGGTTATGTTTTGTTGTCATTATAGGTGACATTAAATATATAGATTTCATTACATGGATTTGGCATCCCTAGAAGAAACCCAGAATGGAAAGTGAAACGCTTCACACCGTGAAATCCCCAGAGGACACTGTCAGCCTGGCTGAGGGACCAGAACAGGAGCCATGGAGCTGACCGGGACCAGAGCCGGAGGACAAGCAGCTGGATGGAGTTCTGGCTGGAAGGAGAGAGTTCCCTGGAAAACCTGACTCCCCAGGACCCACCAAGGCACAGGGGGGAACCCCAACAGGCATGAAGGCAGGGGTCCAGGTGTGGGCAGCGTGGAGCGCCCCAGCAACCAGGCCGGCCCCCCGGGGGTGCACGTGCAGAACCCGCGGAAACCCCACGCGAGAGGAGCTGGCTGCACCAGCTGAGAGCGACTACCATCCGCACGCAATCAAGTTTCGGGAAACAATTGCGTAGGCAAGGTCGCTCTAGACAATTAGGGGTAGAAGAAAAGGGTTCCTTACAGTCGGCCGCCCGCACTGCGGTAAAACGACACGGAGACGTAGGTCAGCTGCATCCTGGCTCATGCGCTGTATTCCGTGTGGGAGACAGGACAGCGTCAGGTCCTCTCCTCCAAGAAGCCTTCCCGGACTGCCCAGACTACAGCAGGCCTCTTCCTACACACCTCATAGCTCGTCCTACTATTTCACACGGTAATGAGTGTCTAATGATGGTCTCTCCACTGTACTTTGACATCCAAAAGGCAGCCAGTCATCTTGTCTCTTTTGTCCCACATGACACCCCCAGTGGCTCCGGAGAGATAATTAATGCAGCTCCGAACACTCAACTTTGTCTCACCAAAGCCGCTTCCCCTGGGGAGCCAGCCTGCAGCCTGGCATGTGGCTCCCCTGTGCCCAGCCACCACCACAGGGACTCCCGGCGCCGAAGCCCCTCCCCATCTCAGAAGACAGGGGCTTGGGAGCCAGCAGGTGCCCCTGCTCCCTTAGGAATTTGAATCCTGGGGCCATGACGGGTGAAAGACAGGAAGGTATCGGAAAGGATCTGTTTCAAGAAAAAGAGAAAAGAATAATATCCGAAACAAATGCACACGTCATGGGCCAGGCACTGTTCCCAGCATTTTACACACCAGTGAGTTAACACAGATATAACCCCTTCAACAGCTCTCCCAAGGGACTCAGTAGCACCCCCGTGTCTGGCCGAGGACGGCGCTGAGGCAGAGGGGTGCGCAGGGCGCCCACCTTAGCTTAGCATGGGTCAGAGCTCAGATTTGCTCCCAGGGAGTCTGGCTCTAGAGGCGGGCATTCCAACCATCGCTGCCTCAGGAGGAGGCAAATGCAAACAGGAAAAAGAAGGGAAAGGAAAAGAGAAGAAAAAGAAAGAAAAGGGGGGAAAAGGAAGAATGCGTGGATGCCACTTTCAAATATAATATTGAAATGTTGGGGCGTAAAATAGCACCGATCTACTTAAAACATTGAAATAATCGAAAGAAACTAAGATGTGCACAGACACCAACTTCGAGCAGTAAACGCAGTTGCTGTCTACACCGAGTGTGGGAGGGGATGTCCTGGCGTGAGGACTGTCTGCAGTGCTGGGAGGAAACCACAGGACTCCGAGTTCACGTGTTCTAATCCCTCCTGGTCACAGTGCCTGTGCAGACTACTCAGTCCAGAGCAAAATTAAATTGTCTTGTTTTGGAGTTACAAATAATAATGTATATATCAACACATGCACACATAGTGTACTATACTTATAAGACCTACACGTCTTAAAGGGAAACATTTAAAAATAGCTAGTAATTGACTTACTGCTAAGTTTTAACTTATGTGCTGAAATTTGACTTTTATACACATTTATTTCTCTGTCCCCCCCCCTTTTCTTTAACTGCTTGAAAATGAAATTTACAGATACTTGGGTTACCAGTGGGCTGCTGAATACTCACACAATATGTCATGAACTGCTAGACATTTTATGTTTAAAATGAAAAATGTGGGTAACACTTTATTTTAATGGTATATTAATTAGTTCCAAATTACAATGAAAATCCTATAGCAGTGAATAAAATATGACATCTACATGAATTTGAAATAAATTTATTATGATCAGTATTATCACAATGAATACGAAATGAATTATTAATGACGAAAGACCAAAAGTATTACCGGGAATGTAATAAAACATCGAGAAAAAGCCGGAAGTTTCCAGGCCCTTCATCATCAACCAGAAATAAGTACTATAACCCTGGATAACACTCATATTATGTGTGTCATCGGTGGCCAGAAATGAACTGACAATAAATAGAGAATGAAAAAATGTGTGGTTAAATATCCTTCCAGTAATATGCAAAAACTATGCATTTCACACATTAACATACTGTGTTTATTCTGACCTATTGTATTAGCTACTGAATAAATGTTAGATTAAAAACCCTCCTCATTATCATGTAACTTGCAACTATCTTAGATACCAGGAATGATATTCCAATATTAGCTGCCCTGTATAATGAGATATACTGATGCGCAAAATTATTGTTTTAATATCATTTCATTCTTAGGTCTTAAGGACGTCAACCTCCTCTAGGGCAGAACCATGCTCAATCTGCTCTTGGTGTTCTGATCACCACCCACGTGCCAAGTAATACGTGATGAGAAATAGGACCATGTTTTGGGAGTTAGGAGGCACGTTTTGTTTTCATTCATAGTCCTCATTACTATTATTTCACAGCTTTATGGTTAATGAGCTACAAACACATACGTATTCGAGTATCAAGTAGGAGTAGCCTGTGGATTTAAAGTGGATTTTTAGAATGTTTTATTATTTGTTTTTCTACCTCTTCCTTCATACTTCATTTCCTGAACAGTGAAATCCTAAAGAAATTGGTGCATGGCACGTAGGGAGTCTGTGCTAAGGGGGTGCCCCAGCGCCCAGATGGGTGTCAGAGCCTCTGTCGGCTGAGGTGGGTCTCCACGCATGGGGACCGCCTGGAGGGAGGATGTCACAGGAAAGAGAGTGTGCCCAAGGGGAGAAGGCCTGGCTTTAGGGTGTCCAGGAAAGGTGCCACACGGAAGGGCAATCAGCACAGGGGGTCACACCCCAAGAGTGACGAAAAAGGGATCCAAGCCGGTGAGCAGGTGATAGCTTGCAGGGGAGACAGAGTTCCCACTGGGTACAAAGGTGCATACACAAACTGTCTGCTTTAAAATGCCTATTAATTACAAAGAAAAAAGACAACAATTTAAACGAAAAGATCGTCCTTGCATATGTGGCAGAAGCCCTGCTAAGTTTTGCTGGTCACAATTGAGTACCGTGAGTAACAGACAAATCAGCAGTTAATTAGAATCAGAGGAAGGGACTCATATCTATCCAACAAGATGTCATTTGTGTGACATCGAATAAGACTGAGATGGCTGTCCACAGTCGAGGATGGGAAACCAACCCATTAGACCAAGAATGCCATCAGGAAATGTTGACTGCATTGGAGTCAGAAATGAATGGACAAAGTTTATGGGGATAATGGATTCCAGAGTCAGGTCGGCATAAGGAACAACTATATTGACTTCCATGTCGAGAAGGGATTTGAATCCCTCTCCCCCGAGCATAAGCTTTGGACTGAGATGGATCAAACCCCTCTAGATCTTTGGCACGCCATTTACACTTTCTAAATCTCATTTTCCTCTGTTGTAAAGTAGAAACAATTAAAATCATCTCCTAAGATTAGTGTGCCTATCAAAATAATGTTTGTGAAAGCATTCAACAGAGTTTCCCGGCACACAGCAGATGTTCACCCGTGTTTTTGTGTGTACCTCCTTCTCCCCACCCCCACGCCGGCTGTGGGTGGCGAGCAATCTGGAAATTCGACATGTGGACACTTGAGCACCATGGTGTCTCCACAGAACTTCCCTGCTTTCTCTGTGTACCGTCCCCTTCAGCTACGTCAATCAGAAGAGATGGCATCTCCATCATCTCTTTCATCATCACGTTTGCATCTCGGCGTCACACACTTGTTTGGTTTTGAGGTTTTTAAACTGGCAAATGTGCTACTTGTAAAGAGACATACACAGAATGCAATAAACTCCTATAAAGGAGGACTGGTGTTACTATTATAAGTGGAATTTAAAGGTGAAACATTTTGCACATAAAAAAAAGACCCATAAATTGGTAATAAAGAGACACGCTGGTGCATGTGTATGAGCTAAATAAAGGCAACAAAAGATTCCACCATAGAAACTCAGTAGAAGAGGAATGTTTTAACGCATTTCTATTACCATTTGACAGATTAGACAAAACTGAAATAAGGTGATAGGGAAAATGAGCAAGATGATTAAGGAATACATACCAAGCTCTTCTTTTCACAAATAGGCTAGTCTAAATGACCAAAAAGTAAAAAAAAAATCTCAATAATTCAGAAGAATAGGAATGAAACGAGGAATTGATAGTGAAAGTGTTCCTAAGGACAATCGTGTCAAATAACCACCAAGGACCATCTTTTTCCAACCTGTAACACCCTAGACATAATATTCAGCCTTTTTGATGAGGTCAGAACATGAACACCCACCACACACTCCTGTGCAGGTGAGTTTCCAGAGGGCTTGGGCTGGGCAGGCAGTGAACAGTCTCCCAAGGCTCCCTCATCCTCTCATCCCATCAGCTCCTCTAAATGTGCTTCTCACTTCCTGGGAGTCCCAAGTCCTTCCTCTCTGAGGCGGGGGAGTTGCCCCTTCTCAGCGGACTGCCAGGCCCTGGAGCATGAAAGTGCCCACCTAAGCCTTTAGTGACAATGCCACTTCCCCGGCAATGTCATCTTTCAGCTTCGGAGGTATTCTGGGGCCAGCTGCAAGGCAGAAACATTTTTGCCACCGCCTCGTTACCAATAAAGGAAGATGCTAAGCCCTGGCTGGTTTGGCTCAGTGGTTAGAGCATCAGCCCGTGGACCAGAGAGTCCCAGGTTTGGTTCCAGCTAAGGGCACGGACCTCGGTTGCAGTTTGTCCCCGGCCCTGGTTGGGGTCGTGTGGGTGGCAGCCAGTCTATGTGTCTCTCTCACATCAATGTTTCTCTTTCTCTCTCTCTTCCTCCCTCTCTCCCTCCTGCTCTATACGAAGATAAATGCAAAAAGGTCCTCAGGTGAGGATAAAAATAAATAAATTGATTAATTAATTAAAAAAAGGAAGACCTTGAAACAAACCAAGGGGAGTTACAATGGTTCCCTCCAAGTGTTCCCCGCCTCTTAATGGATTTGAAACTATGCTCAGGCCACTCGGGTCTTCCTGTTTGCTGACTCCGAATTCACCAGACCAGTGTAGTGGGAAGAAACCCTTGCCCCCGGTGGCTTTGAGACATAGTTCTGTGACCTTGCCCAAATGACCCAATCTACCTGAACCTCATGTTCCCTGATGGGAAAAGGGAATAAATATATAATTTGTATGGACGTTTAAGAATGCAGTGGTGTTTTATATGGTTTTGACCCCAAAGCTATCAATACCCTGCTAAACTACACAAACAGAAATTTTGATTTCTTGGTGCTCTTTAGAGACTTTCAATAATAATAATAATAATAATAAATGAAACAGAAGGAATGCCAACTCATCATGGCCTTTGCATAACCCTAGCCACTTCTCCAAGCACTCTCCAGTTTTGGGGAAATGTACCCATTGTCAAAAGCCAGAAGATGGGGACAAAGGTTGACACTGAAATCTGTAGAAGAAATTATGTCTTTTTCCAGTGTAGCAATTCACCAGACTTCTCTAGAATACTGTTCTCAACTTCTAAAATATGAGATATTATAATGAAAAAGTTCCTAGTCCATGCTCAGCGTATAACCAGCTCAAGAAATGTTAATTCTCTTCTTGTTCATCCTAATATATCCTAATGAGTTTTCAAATACCAGTATTCCATAATAGGCTGTGAATATCAACAGGGTGGAGCTCATTTCTCTTATATACATATGCCATAAATAAATACAGGACCAGCCACATCCTCTAAACTATTGCTAAATGAATTATTTATCTATAATTATAGATAATATAGAGATACCAGATAAATAGATCATTTCTATCTTTAGCTATTTTTAGTTTGTTCACTTAAACCAGGACCAAGGATTGATTGAAAGATTCATTTCTGGAATTATTACAGAAATGATTATTGTGCAGCTGTTATGTGTCAGCAACAACAATAGACACAGGAGACAATGATGAGCAAAGCAATGACACTGTCCACTTGTGGTTTAAGAGAGATGACAGATATCTCACAGCAGAAAGTACAACTAAATTTCAATTAAGAGAGGTACATGAGAGAGGTACATGGGAGCTGGCTATAAGAATGTAGTAGGTGAGATAAATGTTAGAATAAGGGCGAGTCAGTAAGGTCTTGTGACTTACTTTCCATCCGTCTGCCATGTCACGGCATTCTGTCATTGTCTAATTCACTGCTTTGGCATTTCTCTTAATTTAGAAAAACTCCTGGGGCATTGTCCAGAGGGCCCTTGTTAAAAATTATGTGTTCCTGAGAGGGAAGTTCAGGTGTAGGGGGGCGGAGAAGGCTGCTAGTATCTTCCTTGGCCCTCTTCTGTTACCTAATATAAGGATACTGAGGATCCCGACCGGCTTAGATACTGTCAGTTTAGGGAAACAGATGTGTCACAGGACAGAGTTCACTGATGTTTGCGAAATAATGGAGGCCCAAATTCCCAGGCAGATGGGAGACACACTAGCTCAGCCACATGGGGGGTCCAGGTGACCCCAATCAGGCTATTAAACCGCCTTTCAACAAATTGAGCAGTGATGGCCAAGAAAAACACTTCCTTTCACCAGTGCATCTGCGCTTTTCCTGAAACCATCTCAAGCTGAGATCTCTATGCCCCCCACGCCCTATGTATCATTGCCTGTTGGGTTAATACTACTTTGAAACTTGCAGCCAACCAGCGAAGGGCAGATTTATACTTCTCGAATTAGGAAAGTCGTTGTTAGGAAAGTCCTGCTAAAAAGCAGCTGCCTACAGTCAAGCCAGGTCTCCGCGCGACCCCGGCGGCTGGCTCACCTGTTCCTAAAGTAGTACTGGTGTTCCACGAGCACCGACCGCGCCTGCAGCCGGGCGAGCGTGGCCATCGCTCCCGGCGTCCCAGCCTTCCCGCTGCTGTTGCTATCGGTCTCCACGGCAACCGGGCCAAACCAAAAGGCAGGCTCCTGGGGGGGTCCGCTTTCCGTCGATGCCACGTTCCTCCACCCTGTTTCCGTTTTAAAGGCATTAGAAAGAAAGGTAATAGATTTTGAGTGGTATTAACGTTGAGTTTATTTGCCTCCGTGCGTGAAAAGAGGAGATTGAAGGCGAGGCAAGCAGCGGGGGGAGCAGGACGGATGGTTGCTCCCGACATCCGGTTTCCGCCTCCCGTCTGCTTCCGGAAGCTCAGCTCAAAATGCTGTACTGCTCTGTGCAAGTCGCTGGTGCTGCGGTGGTTGGAGTCTGTGCTCGGGCCTGAGCCTCGAGGCCAGGCTCCTGGGTGTCGTTAATGTTCGGGGCCGCCGGGCGCCAACCGATCGGAGCTCCAGCCGCCGGGAACAGCTGGTGAGGCTGGCGGCCCTGGGGATGGGAGACAGGACAGGGGTGCTGGCCCGAGGCCGCCGTACCTGGCAGGCAGGGGGAGGGAGGGGTGGCGGACGCTCTGAAGACGGGCCTGGCCCTCACGCGTGCCCGGGATGCACGCGATTTGAGGGAGGCGGCGAGGTGTGTGCAGGAGATCCGTGAAGGATGACAGGAAACGCTGGCCGATCGCTGGTCTCCCTAACACTGCGGTGTCTTAGGCGCAAAGCTTGCTCTACCCCTGGGGCAGTTCACTTCCTCGTGATGGTTGACAAGATGGGGACAGGAGGAATGGGTCTGAATCCACGCCTTCTTCCCGCATCTCCCTTTTAACATGGACTCGATCATACCACTTCAGATCCCCGAGATCCAGAGTTCTGGAAGTTTGGTAGTAGAAGCGACCTCACCCCCCCCAACCCCCTTTTTGGAGTGGGTGTAACCTACCTGTTTCTGTCTCTTGAGCGGTTCATGCTAGTTAAAATAAGACAAGCGTGAGAGTTCCCTAGGAACAGGTAAATGCCAGTATTAATTCAGGGGCTGGCCTGCCTCTACAGTATCATATCAGCCCATGTCACGTTGGAATCATGTATTGCTTTGACTCTTCCAAGTGCTTTCTTTCACTTTATCCTTATGACAGCCCCGTGATGGGAGATGATTATTATTTTTCTATTTTATTTTTTATGAGGACAGAGGACAGAGCAGGGAGAGGGGATAGGAGATCATGAACAGGCACAGAATACTTAAGTGACTTGTCCAAAATTGCCCTGCACATTTTAGTCCTAGAGCTGGGAGCGCCGGGTGGTGGCTTTCTAGCCGAAAACTCCAATGCCCCTCTTATTTCTTCCCGTGCTCTTTCCCTCCAAGCATACACAAGGCAAGCAGTGAAACAAGCAAGCAGATTTTCCACCGACAGTTAATTCTCAAACACAGTGTTGAACAAGAGGTGAAATGTGGCTTAAAAAAATGCACGTCCATTCCTAGATTCTGCAGCACATGAGAACATGGGGAATTCCAGCTGGTCTGTGACCTCAAAGAATTTATTTCCCATCACCTGTCTCTGAAAAGTTAAAAGGATGTCTCATCTAAAATGTTTTGAAAGTGATCAGATCATTCTGTAGTTAAGCAGGGAGCACATTAAAAAAACAATGGTGATGTGATTCATATAGAATAAAATATATTATTTCTTAAAATGTTTAATATTTTTTGTTTTGACAATGGATACACCCTGTAACCACCACACGAAACAACATATAAGACATTTCCATCATCCCAGAGTTCCCTCTCCAGGGTACCTATCTTAATGTTTCACTATTCAGTATCTTGTTATGTAGCTTGCTCTGTTGATACTGATTTGTGGGACATGTAACTATTAAATTAAAAAATATGACTCTTTCAACTCTTTCCTCTCCCTTCCACCTTCTGCATAAACCGTGGTTAGGTACCTCTTTAAAGAACCTATCCTGTTTTCATTTGGCATCATCCGATTCACCTTTATGACCCCAGATTATAAAATAGTGCCCAGCACTTAATAGATGTTGTTGAATGAAATTCTTAAAATCATGCCTGATTTGGCAGAATGAATGTGTTCCAGACACCTGGAACCTTTAGTTTCTAGTTGCTCTGCCCACCCTCCTGTCATTCACCATTTCTTAATGGATTTTTTTTTTTTTAATTCATTGATGGGACATGTACTATACTCCGCATGTAAGTTTCACCCCAGTGGTGAAATCCCAGTGCCCCTGGGGATGCTACCACTAAGTTGTTACTTGGTGGCAGGTTTTACATACATATCATCTTATGTCAGCTCTTTTGAGGTAGGCTCTTTTTTTTTTTACATTTTAGAGATAGTGAGAGGGGCAAATACAGTGTAAGGACTTGCCCAAGTGTCCTATTTGCAGGATGATTCCAGGATATTTTACAAAAGTTCTTACCCATCCTAGTATACTGCCTGTGATTTCTAAATAATATACAATGTCTTAAAGAATATTTGAATTGGAAAGTGTATGTCTGGATTTGTTAACCAGCCTGGACTTTCTGATGTATTTAACTCTCATCCTGACTACAACTTTTCCTCCCATGTCGAGATCAGTTTTTCAATTTGGGGGCACCAAGTGCTTAAATATAGATGTTTCATTTCTTTCTTAACAATTGGCAAAGTAGAACCGATGCTATATTTTGTAGTAAAGAAGCCTAAGGAAGAAACGTTTTATATAATTATATAATAAAGATCGTGTGATTTATGTGTGTGTGTGGGTGTGTGAGGAAATGAATATGTTTTGTTCAAGTTAATCGTAAAAGTGATTCACACTATGTTTTTATAGAAAACATTATGATAGCTGGGAGAGCCTGTCATTTCCTGCCTCATTACTCATGCATTTTGAAATTAGGATCCAAAATGTATCTAACTTGGCACGTCTAATGTTAACTTTTAAAATTTTTAATTCATTTGGTAGACAGATAACATTTAGTATTTAGATATGCTTTTCTTTTTTTTTACCTTATTATTATTATTATTAGTAGTAGTAGTATTGGTACGTGCTCCTAGCGAGAACTGAACCCGGGACTCTCTGGTCCACAGGTCAGCACTCCAACTTCTGAGCCAAACCGGCCAGGGCTTCTTTTTTACATTATTAATCATTTATATTTCATGTCAATTCCTGGGGTTTTGGAGGAATTATTTTTAAAGATTGAACTAAACAAAATTTTAAAATTAAGTCGTTGATGATTAAAGTATTGAACTACACTATCTATTTAACTTTATGTGGCTTTGCTTTTAAAAAACATTAAAAACAATCTATGTTGATTCTGGACCTTTGTTTCTATCGTAGCATTCCTATTTGGTATTTTTATTTTTATTTTTTTTAGGTCTGGAAAACGACATAGTAAAAAATGTGCATTTTTAAAGAACAGCTTTTTTTGTTGTTGTTATCTTAAACTTAATTTCATGTTGTTAGGTTTGTTTGAGTCAAGTTTATGTTTCAAATATTAAGAATCAAAGCAATGGCCAGTATGATTTTGGGCATATAACTCATTAATTTGGGTATAGCGTCTTTCCCTCCTTATTTAAGTTGGAAACCTTTAAGCCATCTTCGATAACATGCTGTTACCTGACACATCTACTTAACTGAAAACTTAAGAGTATTTTGTTAATGTGACAGAAATTTTGAAATCTGGATTGTTACATTTTTGCTCAAGTCAAATGTTCCCTTGGCTATTTTGTTCATATATTTAGCCATTCCTTAGTTTGTTCATCCATCGGATTTTTTTTTTTTAACATTTGTGATGTGTCCAGTGTAGTGCTAGGTACTTGTAATGAACATTCAGTTGTCTTCATTCCCATTGCAAGTCTATGAACTCAGAATATATTATATACTCAATACATATGGAGCAGTAGCCATGCATAAGCAATGAATGAGACAAATTCCTACATGTAGAAGCTTCCTAGATGCTCTGTAGTATGTTTGTTGACAAGAGTTGGAATGAATTACCTGTTAGATTCTCAATTTTTGTTTGTTTTAGACTTTAATATGGTTTCATTCAGGCAGTGTTCTATGCAACAGTTTACATTTTGAAAACGAGTAGAGTATAAGGAAGGATGTTCCCAATGACTCTTAAAGTCATTAAGTGAAGTAACAAAAAAATCAAAAGTATGTTCTTCAAATTTAAATCGTGGGTGAGTTTGCCGTATTGGATCACTGTTTGGAAAGTGGAATTAGACGTGGCTTGTCCACCACGGTGCGAGGGTAAGGGGAGAGACAAGTTCTCCAAGCGTTCCCGTGGTGACAGATGTCAGGGGCGCCAGCGTCACCTCCAGCTGAGCGCGGGACAGTGCGGGTGCTGGTGGGCGGAGAGCGGTGTGCCTCTTACCTCGGAAGGGCCATTTTCTTTCATTGTTTCCTTACTTCTGTATGTTATTGAAAGAGGAGTAGGTCAGACACACAGCATCATTTCTTTTTAACTTGGGATCTTTTATTTCTTTAGATCTGTAAGATCTTTGGAGTCTTTAAGAAGTCCCTGAATTTCTTGAAATTATATGCAAGAGTTTTGCAAATGTCAACCCCACTTTCCCCAACATTCAGAGTGGCTCAAGGCCTCAGAGAGGTTGAAGGTTCTGACTTAGCACGATATCCTCAGGATGCATAATAAGGTGATACGTTTAAAGTGGACGGACTGGATATTTCAGCGACCAGTGTCTCTGGTGTGTAGATGACCCCCAGCCACCACCCCTGCTGAACTTTGAAAGAACTGCTCTCACTCGTTAAAGCCCTGCTCGCACCCTCATAGAATCCCTGCCAAGTAGAAACCGTACCCATTTTATACTGAATAATCAGAAAATAAGTAATTTGTTCAAGTCCCTATGGCCAATGAATGTTGCAGAATATTTCCAAGCACAGAGCTTTGACTGCAACACTGATGTTCTCTGTAGCTCGCTCTAGCCTTTTTTCCCTAGAGGATTTTATTCCATATTTATTGCCTAATGTTAATGTAATGTTATAATTAATTATTTACGTGTTTCAGAATAACCTGGGTGCCCCCACCCTCAGACTCCCTTTTTCAAAAAGAGAGAACAGGTTACTTGTTACTAATGGTTTAAATAGTTGGGTCAAGGAGTTTCTAAACTAGCCCAAGTACTGACATTTAATGTTAGGGTTCTTAAATCCCTAAGATGACCTCCCCCGAAATAGACAAAAGGAGAAAAATGAAGATATTGTTTATTAATAGGGTACTAGGCTGAAATCAAGACTTATTTGGACAATATCATCATTAAGGAAGGAAATGTATAATTCCTATGAGCAGCAGACATCTTCCTGTTATTCTTATGGATCATATTTTGTTAAGTTCGTCATAAAATGTAGTCCTTAAGGTGTCATGTTGAAGGCTCGCCATCTGCATGTTGAGTCCCTCATTGTCATGGTCCACACTATTCTGCAGTGATCTTCATCTGTCCTGTGGCTGTGTGCTGTATACTTTTAGGACCAACCAACCTTTCCAATCGTAAATAAAAGCTAATGTGAGGACCTAGGCATGTAATTCCAGGACTGTTTTCTTTGTGGGCAGTCATAGCACAGTTTTTCACTGTTTACTATGTGTTAGTGCAGTGTTTTAGTACACAGTGAATTTTTATCCATACAGACTAACACATAAATGCCTGTTTCTTCCCTTAAATTTCTGAAAACCACTCAAGCAGCTGTATTTAGCAACAGGTAACCTACGTTTAAGGCTCCACTCCTAAAGTTACTTAACTTTGTAGAAGAAATAATCCATGCTCTACAGAGATGAAGAGGAGCATTTTACCAGGTACTAGGTGGTAAAGAGCACTTGACTTATTTTTCCTTAACTAGGGATTTAATAGCTGTAGTCAATTATCAGTTATATCCGAAAACATTTTATTGTTTTTTAATGAATTTGTTGGGATCATTCAGTGGACACACATCCTTCTATGTAGTATCCAGACGAGGAAATTACTCCCTCACTAATTTTTCTTGACATGCTATATTTTTCCCTCTGAGGAATATAGTGATTGCTAATAGAGGATTCAAAAAGTAAGTTACTGCCCCAATAGTTGGCTGTTAGTTCCTGGGGAGCTCTGTTTTCTGAGCTTTCTTGGGCTTCAGCTCCTGTGCCCGCCCGTACCTGGTTGACTGCCACCGGAGAGCTCTTGGCTGAGCAGTCGGCGGCCAGTCCGTGTGCGGTAAACGAGGACTCGGGCTTGAACCAGAAACATTGGGAAGAAAACCCCAACCTCAGGGCCACGATGTTGCCATGCTCTGGTCATCCTCACTTGCATATACTTTGAGGAAGGCCTTTTTCTGAATTAATTAGACCTTCGCATTAAGGTAGACGAGCAAAGGAATTCACTAGTTTCACTGGATGTTTAGAATTACCGAGTGGAGGACAAACAGACAAACTTGACCTTGGGCCAGACATGTTTACCTAGAACTGGCACGTGGAAGTTTGGGTTGAATGTACATTTGATGTCGCTCAGCATAATCTAATGCCACCTGAGAAACACAAAATGCTTATCTATTCAAGTCATTTCTCTTTACAAAGTCCAACTTTATATAGATGGTGGGACTATAACTTTATTCTATTTTTTTGGACCATCTTAAGACAACTATTAATGAATTGTTATGTTAGACATTAATACCCATTACAAAGTATTCCTGAAATCTTTCATTTCCCAGTGAAGAGGAATGAATTCCAAACGAAGAGAACTTGTTGTATTCATTGAATATAAAACTTTCAAATTAGCAAAGTGACAATTCACTGAATTTTACAATTCACAAATTTTTGACCTGTGAAGGTTTAATAAACATAGATTTTTGCATAGAAAAGTTCTGTATTTCCCGGTTTCTGCTCCAACAGAAAAGGCCTTATTTCAGAAAATACCTTTAGGAGAAAGCATTTCAGCACTGTGCTCTGCGGTATCACTGTGAAGGTGGAGACATAAGTGAGCTATTGATCAGGTGATGGTGTCTTAGAATGACTTTATTTCTGGGTGGCCAGGGGTGCCATTAGTTCCCCGGAGCCAGGTGATGCCGAGTCTTGTTCCAGATGAAGAATCCTTATCATAATACTTGTTGCACTGGCTTTCAGTAATTTTCTTAACGGTGCAATATTATATTCAAACATAACAGGTCTTTCAGACTGCATTCCTTGCGAAGAAATGGTGTTAAAGGAAAAGAGCAAACTATGAAATGTAATCGGGGAAAACAAAAAGGCGGTCACTAGCATACAGGTCGCGGAGGGACAACCCATGTGTCCCTTCAGTGTGGTCACAGTTGTTCTGGCTCACTGCTAATTTTCCCTGGACACATTTTTCTCAAATCCAGTGCCGTGTTCCGAACCTGAGTAATACATAGAACCCTTTTCAAAGAAGAAAGAAATGTCACAGTCCTCCAGAGTCCACTTAAAATATATTCACTGGAATCAGTATTGCTTTTAAAAACCTGTGTGTCCCTATCGGCCCTGTATTTCGAAGGCCAGAGGAGACATCTGGAGAATATGAACTACGGTACTTGAGGGACCGTGTCTTGTTTCTCGACTGCTGTACACTCTGCTGACCACGACAGCACTGCCCCACCCACCTGCCCAGTGCCTTGTGTTGCTTCAGCTCTCCCATCCCTTTTGTCTGTTCAAAGGAATACCAGTGCCTAAGTGTGAGTCCAATCTTTCAGCAATTAAAATAGTGCCCCCTGCTGCTAAACCAGTCATAAACAGAAATGCCCCCTGGATGCTGGCCATCATTGGGCGAGCACCAGGCTCTGGAACTAGGTTGCTGGAGTTTGAATCTCTACCACTTCCTAGATGTGACACTCAGGGCCACATGTCCCCAATCTCCGTCTCTGTATTTCATCCACGGCCTCATAGGGTTATGACGTGAGAAGGAAATCAGGGAATGCGAATGAAACACTTAGCCATGGGCCTGGCAGAATAAGACTTCAGGGTTAGACGCTTTTACTGCCTCATAAGTAGTAAATCCAGGTGAATCACAACATGTTTATTTTCAGGTTATTAAAATGAAAAGACAGAGTTGCAAGTTGTTGTAGGGAACTTGCAAATGTCTGAAATTATAGACTGTAGAGAGTATATAAAGTAGGAGTTAGCAAACTGACCTGCCATCATTTGATTTTGTAAATAAAGTTTAATTAGAACACAGCCACATCCATTCATTTGTGTACTGCCCCTTGTGGTGGGGGAAGGGGAGCTGTTTTGACAGAAACCCAAAGACCCGCAGAGCCTAAAACGTTTGCTATTTGGCCTTTTGTAGAAAAGTGTGCTTACCCCTGAACTTGGCTCCAGAAATTATGTAATCCTCTATAATTAGAATATTTCCTCTGTAATTAGAATATTTCCTCTGTAATTAGAATATTTTGATTCCGAAGTGCTTCTAGAACAAAATTTGAGACGTGATTGTTCATGATCCTCATGAGAAAGGTGCATATTTGAATTACCTGTAATGTTTAAAAAATAAATCAGAATCCTCTTATAACATCAGCTGATTTAGAATCTTTGAGAGTTGGGTTCAGAAAGGACCAGTATCATTTATAAAAGTTCCCAAAGAACTCCGTTGTTTATCCTTGCTGACTAGTGGATAATTTTCTCACGGGTAATGTAGTTCAGTGGTTTCTGTTTATTGTTCCTTAAAAACAAAAACAAAAAGGCCAAGCAACCGCTTCAGGAACTCTAAGAAAAATACGGGCCCTTTTAGAACAGTGAGGCTCCAGCTGAACTTGAACAGTTTCTGTGTCACTGGGTTATGAGGTCAATGTGGTATGAATATATGCTTTGTGTTGGATTAAACGTTTCACATACGAGGTGTCCCAAAAGGTATATACGGGGTGTCTGTAGATTCCATTACATTAAAAAATGTATTTTAATAGACACTGGGTTTACAAGTTATTCAAAGTGTGAATGTACATTTTGGGGGGGGGCAGCTTATATTACAAATCTCGACAGGCCTGTAGGTCAGTCTTTCCATCTGTCTGACATCCTGGCGGAGACTGAGAGGTAGGCGGTGAGCAGAGGATTGTATGCTTCTTAGAAATGGGGGGCGGGGAGCTGGCTGGGTTGGCTCAGCAGTTAGAGCATGGGCCAGCAGACCAGAGAGACCGGGTTCGGTTCCCGCTAAGGGCTCGTACCTCTTGGTTGCAGTTTGTCCCCTGCCGGGTTGGGATTGTGTGGGTGGCAACCACTCATGTGTCTCTCTCACATCGATGTTTCTCTCTGTCTCTTTCTCCCTCTCTCCCTCCCACTCTTATCTGAAGATAAATGCAAAAATGTCCTCTGGTAAGGATTAAAGAAAAAAAATAATGATGGAGGGGATGGAGCAAGTTCTCCCCATATCTGACCTAGGAAATCTGGCTCTGGGTAAAGGACAGCTTTTGAGCAGAAATAACTTCTCCATAATTACACAGGAAAAATATAAAATTACTGAGACCTTTCATTGTTGATATTATGCTCACTCTATCTTGATGTAATTCCTGTGTTTAATGAAAGAACTTAGACAAGAACAAGGAGCTTACAGTGAGTCAGAATATTTGCAACTCTCAGTTCTGGGAAGGAAAATCCAATGGCCTTGCAACATTTCGTTGTGAAGCTATTGATCCGGCTGGGATTCAGAGTGAACTGTGGGTGTCAGTAGCTGGGCCAGCGGGGTCTGCCGGCTGTTCCTCACTCGCCTTTCCTTCCTCGCACGTAGGCATTTCAGTCGGACCATGGAAGAGCTGGTTCACGACCTGGTGTCCGCCTTGGAGGAGAGCTCGGAGCAGGCCCGAGGCGGGTTCGCGGACCCGGGGGACCACCGCAGCCTGTCCTGCGCCCTGAAGCGCCAGGCGCGGAAACGCAGGGGGAGGAAGCGGAGGTCGTGCACCGCTCACCACGCGTGGGAGGCCGCGCACTGCCCCAGCGAGGGCTCCGACTCCAGCCTGGACGAGCCCAGCAAGGACTACCGGGAGAACCCCCCCAGCCACAAAAAGGACCACAGTGACTCCGACGACCAGATGCTGGTGGCCAAGCGCCGGCCGTCGTCCGGCCTGAACAGCTCCGTGCGCGGGAAGAGGCCCCTGTGGCCGGAGGCCGACTTCGCGGCCGACGCCCTGGGGAGCAGGACCCTGCGCAGGAGGCGGAAGGTGAAGCGCATGGCCCTGGACCTCCCGCCCGACGTGGCCAGCAAGCGGCCCGCGGCGCCGCCCCCCGACGGCTGCAGGGACCAGGACATGGACGACGACAGGGCCTTCCAGTGCCAGGAGTTTGCCAGGAGCAAAGTCAGGAAAAGGAAACTGCGGATCATTCGACAAGGCCCCAAGACCCAAGACGAGGGAGTCGTTTTGGACAGCGAGGAGGTGAGCCAGACCAGTAAGGACAAAATGGAATACGAAGAGCAAAAGGTCTCCGATGAGCTCATGAGCGAAAGGTGACTTGCTTTCCTAAGTACCAAGATAAGTGGCTGTAGTCGTGTGGTTGAGTGTGTTTTGTACTTCAATGCATTCTATTTTACAAGAATGATAAATTATGATGCTGGTGGGGTGCTGCTGTTTAACTGTGGTCGTTTTTCCTTATAATCTATGACGGTCGGTGCACAGCAGTGTGCAAAGTCTTTTGATTGGGGAACACTGACTTAATTTCGGATTTTCAATGGGAAGGGATGTGCATTTGGACAACAGCGCATCTGGGACTCTCAGAATTGGGTCTATGATGATTATTTGTTTAATTAGAGCATTTTAGCATTTGGTTCTTTGCAGTTTCACAGTTTATCAGTTGATTCTGACTACTGAGAATGGAGAGTTGGTACCACTTCAACCGGTGTGGCTGGGGACTAAGTCTAGCTCGCTAGGGGTTCTGATCTCTGAGGGCTCGTCAAGCCCAGCCCAGCGCCTCGAACCCCGCTCTTGTCCTGATGAGAAAAGCAGTGGCCCTGTGGCCGTTAGTCCGATCTGTCCCCTCTGGAAAGCAGCGGGACCGCCGTCATAACCTGTTTGAACGGCACCGACGGTAAGTGGCCGCTTCTCTTTCACACGGAGCGCGTGCGGCCTGCAGGGAATGAGGAAGTATTGACACTCTTCATCCTTCAGCTGTGTCCTTCAGGCCAGATGGAGAACGTGCTGCAGGGAAACTCTCCCTAACAGTGGTCTGGGAAAGAGTGATTTTCAATTTGTAGGACTGGCATTTTAATCATGTGGATTGTGAGCTACCAAATATATACACATATATACATATATATAAACTATATGTGTTTTTGCCTGCAAATATGATTATGATTGCAGAAATGAGTAGGACTTGATAACGGCTTCCTTTTTTTTTTTTTTTATTCCTCACCCGAGGATACTTTTCTGTGTATCATCAGATATAATGGGAGGGAGGGAGAAAGAGAGAGAGAGAGAGAGGGAGAGAAACATCGATGTGATAGAGCCACACTGACTGGTTGTCTCCCACACAACCCAACCAGGGCCGGGGACGAACCACAACCGAGGTCCGTGCCCTTGGCCAGAATTGAACCCACAACTCATTGGTCTGAGGGCCGATGCTCTAACCACTGAGCAAACGGGCCAGGACAGGACTTGGTAACAGTTTATAGAATAGAATTTTTATTAGAGGTGGTTTACTATTTGTGCAATTTTTTTTTAAGAAGTGAAAACTACTTTAAAAAATGTTTCAGAAGGGCTTTGAAAAGTTTACAGTGTCCACTTTTCTTACAAGAAAGTTGTCCTTTTTTTTTCACCAGAGAGAGAATTATTTCTATGCCATTGGGCCCTGTGACGGGGGCGGGGGGCACTTAGCTGGACTCGAAGGTAATTACCTTGCTCTCTTGCTGGGAGGAGGGTGTGTGGCCCTGGAGATCCGAGCTCAATTCTGGATTATTGTTCGATCGCCTGTGTTCTGGATTAAGTGTGCAAGCCCCTCCTTTTATTGATGTCTGCCTTCTCCTGATAGAGATCCACCCCGGAAGAGAACTGAGATAAAAATCTCTGCTTTCCATTGTAAAAGTATTGGAATACCTAGGGGTGAGGCTACCCAGCCATCGACGGCCCGGGCACACGTTTTCACAGAGGATGTTTTCACTCTTGAATGAATTAAAACAGTTTTTTTAATTAATTTTATTTTAAGCTTAACCTCCATAACTGTTTCTTACTGCTTAAAAGTTAAGTCATAGTCCTTCGGTGGGAAGACTGCTAAATATTTGAGGGATCTTCCCACGTGACGTCTTTTGAGATTACTTTTTTCTACTAGAAAAGCTATATTATTTCCTTGGAACTGATTTGTAAGTACGAGTTGAACAGCTCGATTTCGGGCACTTGACTTCACACACCTTGATCAGGGTTGGCCCTCCGCACGGTGCCCGGACCGGCAATAGGACAGGGCCATTTACAACAGCCTCACTCCGGACTGGCAGACCAGCAGATGAGGGGATGAAAGTGCCCAGGCGGAGGGAGGGGGAGGAAGGAGGGGGAGGAAGGAGGGGGAGGAAGGAGCGGGAGGAAGGCCTCCTCAGAAGCTGTGATTCACAGCTGCACAGAGCCAGCTGGTGTGGCTCAGTGGTTGAGTGTCGACCCCTGCACCAAGTGGTGGCAGGTTTGATTCCCGGTCAGGGCACATGCCCAGGTTGTGGGCCAAATCCCCAGTAGGCATGCAGGAGGTGACCAGATTGGGGTAGGAGGTTGGGGTTAGTGTCTGTATAGTAGTAATTCAACAAGCCTAAGTGGGATCTCTCCAAATGCTGTGTTATAAAAGTCATACTAAAAGATGTGGGCCAAGGTGTCCTTGCAGATAAGCCACATGGCGATGTTCTCTCTCATCAGTGTTCCTCTCTCTCTCTCCCTCTTCCTTCCTCTCTCTAAAATTAATAAAGAAAAAATTTTTTTAAATAAATAAATAAATTGGCACGGACCTGTTCCATACTGGAGGAGTGGGAGAACAGAGGGAAGAGAGGGGCATCCGTGGGTGGAGGGGCGGCTGTGCACAGGCCTGGGGTGGGAAGCAGGTATGTGGGAAGGTACCTGTCATTCATTCTTACTAGAGAAGGGGTTGAGGCTGCTGGAATAGCAGGTCTTCAAGGTTTGCATTCCACCACATAGGTAGGTAAGGGAAGTCAGGGAAGAAACTCAGTTCGATTTGCATGTTATCAGTTAGGGTTACCGTTACTAAGGTGAATGGGACCCTTAGTGTTTGTTCGGCGTTCACTCGTTCACTCACACCCGTGGCCCTTCAGTGGGAGGTGAGCTGTGGCACCGAGGGCAGAGGGGCGTGGTGGGAGGGGAGCCCGGGATGGTTGCCTGGCTGTATTTGGGAGGATGGATGAGAAAGAACACTCTTAAACTGATGTCCAGGTTTCAAGAAGAAAAATAGAGGAAACGAACAGATTGGGGTAGGAGGTTGGGGTTAGTGTCTGTATAGTAATTCAACAAGCCTTCGTGGGATCTCTCCAAATGCTGTGTTATAAAAGTCATACTAAAAGATGTGGGCCAAGGTGTCCTTGCAGATAAGCCACACGGCCATCGATGCTGCCAGTGAAGGTCTCTGTTCTATTTATGTTCTTGTTCTGACTTACTGAGCACACGAACAGCTTCATGATACGCTTGGAGCATCTAGCTGGATGTCATGAAGTGAAACAGGAAACAGTGTCATTTAAAACACATACAAAATACCTAAGATTAGGACAAGGATCCTTAAGGACCAAGACCTGGTCTTAGGGGGTTCTGATTTCGTGGTGTCTTTAAGAAGAGTGGGCAGGCAGAGAGGAGAGAGGAGACAGGGATACCACCAGGAGAAAACAGAGACACGAAAGGATCAGAGATGGGGATGGAAAGAATTTAGGTGGGGGTCCACCCATAGAGAGCCCTGAAATCTAACTTGAATCCAGCAAGTGGGCAGGGGGGGTAATTTCAGATTTTTAATAGAAGACTATCAAGACTATGTAGATTTACAAAAAAGTTGCAGGGTTCCCGTATGTTCTATTTCCATATACCCCGCACCCAGTTTTCCCTGTTATTAACATCAGACATTACTGTGACTCATTTGTCAGAATTAGTGAGCCAATGTTGACACATTGTTAAGGAAGTCAATACTTATTAGAATTTCCTTTGTTTTTATTTAACATCCTTTTTCCGTTCTAGGATCCCACTCAGGATATCATATTTTCAGTCAACAAGTTACATTTTGAAAAGTTGGACCTGGTTGTGATGTAGAATGTATTAGAGGAAGCAAATCTGAACTCAGAGCGGTTAGAAGACCATTGTACCATAAACAAACAAACTGTGCATAGATTCACAATCCTTATCCCCAAATCTGAATTCTGAAAGCTGTGAAAAACAAATTTATTTGTTGCCAGAACTAACTTGACCTGTGTTTAATGTGGATATTCATTCATTTAATTGAAAAAAGATACATATTAATGTGTTTGATTATGGAGGGCCCAGACCCATCTTAGACATTTTAGAACATACCTTCCTAAAATTAGAAGAATTCTAAATTTTAAATACATTTTGATCCAAGGGCTTTAGAAAAAGAATTGTGACCCCGGGTTGTATACTGAGGCCCTCCCCTCCTTGGGGTTGTGTTGATGGGGAGACGGGAGCACCGACAAGGACAAAGTCCATGGAACTTGGACAGCAAACACCAAGCGATCACGTTTCTGAAGTGTTTTTCATACTCATACATCCCTCTGTATAGAAGAGCAAATATGTTTGTAAATTAGAAAATATGCATTTGATACTGTTAGAAAGTTTTATTTTCTTAACACCTGTGCAGTACAGGGCGTTTCAGACATTTTTTTTTTTTTTTCCTTTATTGATTTTTAGAGAGAGAGGAAGGGAGAGGGAGAGAGAGATAGAAATATCAGAGAGAGAACATCAATTGGCCGCCTCCTGCATGCCCCCCACTGGGGATTGGGCCGAAACCTGGGCATGTGCCCTGACTGGGAATCGAACCGGTGACCTCTTGGTGCATGGGTTGACGCTCAACCACTGAGCCACACCAGCCGGGCATCATACATTCTTTTAATTTGAAGAAAGTTAAGAGGAAAAGGTACTAATCCCTAGTTCCTTGGGAAAAAGTCACTTATATTTATGTTTTAAAAAAATAAAAAAACTGAAATATTTTCTATTCAAAAAATATATATGGATTTAGATGTCATCTATAATTTTAATCCTAAAGTCTCAATTTAAATATTTTAAAATAGATTGGGATGCTTTTAAAAAATATATATTAGGTTACAGAGCTCTCCATATTAATGGAAAATGTATTGTGACATAAACATGAGCTGGGGCAGCCCTGGCGGTGTAGCTGGGCTGAGCTTCATGGAAAGGTCCTGGTTGGGTTCCTGGTCAGGGCACATGTCTGGTTGCATGCTCGGATCCCAGTAGGGGGCGCACAGGAGGCAGCCAATCAGTGTTTCTCTCTCATTGATGTTTCCATCTCTCCTTCTCCCTTCTCTCTCTAAAACCAATAAAAACATATTTTCAAAAATTAGCTGGGGCAATTTTCTGATTGGTAAATTAAGAAATATAATAAAAGGAGAGTACATGAGAATTTTTTTTTTTTTTTGAGAGTACATGAGAATTTTTAAATAACATCATTCAATTTTCTTTAGAGGCCAAACCTCTTGCCATGTGACTTTGTTTATTTTTGAACTACATTATCACATAAGCATTGCTTGTATTACAACAAACAGTGACAGTGTATTCATGTCATCTGAGTACCCACTGTTGGTTTTCATTTGTAAGCATATACCTTTTGACTGTATCATACTCTGGAACTTCAAGGGAAGTAATGAGAACCTATTATTTTTGCATACTCCCTCCTTTATATTGGTAATACTCTTTTTTGCTCAGAGGGACCTTAACTTTGATTGAATGGATTGTTACCCTTGTCAACTATTTTCTTCCTTGCCGAGTAACAGACTTGCAAAGCCTTCGGTAATGCCTTTCCCGGAATATTTGCAAATGTGAGAAGTAATCTCATCCCAGGCCCTTGCAGTTCATGTGCTGAAGAAAGGCTTAGGCAGCTTTTGATGGAGCCTTGCCTCGTCCTGTTGAGCAGCGGTGTCCCTGGCTCAAGCTGAACCGCGTGGCATGAGCAAGGAGCGGCGAGCATTGATGAAGGCAGATAATAAAATACATCCATTATGTCGGCACCTCTCGCAGTCACATCTGGCTACTGTCAGGGTCCCATTAGATGCCTGTGGTTTTATGTGCCAAAAATAATATGCTCTATAGTGAGTGGAACCAGGATATTTGCAGTTTGATTTTTTTTCTTTTTTTCCGTTTTAAATCATCTTGTTTTCTTTCAGATCTTTGCCAGGCTCAAGTCCCATCCCTGAGCCGCCATGTCTCTTTAAAATGTTACCACCAAGAGATCAATTGTTCTTTTGATCTTTTTCTCTCTCTCTTCCCTTACTGCAGCGATTCCAGCAGTCTCAGCAGCACTGATGCTGGCTTGTTTACCAATGATGAGGGAAGGCAAGGTACTGAAATGCCATTTTTTTTTCTTTCTCTCTTTGGATAAACGTCTTCATTGTAAAACTGTGCTTATTACTAGTTGTTTCGTAAGTTGGCGACTGCGGTCCTTTTTCTGTTAACACTGCTTAGCAGAGCGGGGTTAGTTCTCTGGCATGCTCTGAAAGCATCCTGTGTTCATGACCTCAAGGAATCGATTATCCCCCAGAAGCCAGTACAGGGGCTAACAGTATGACGGAAGGATTAGCTTCCTTGAGAAAGCTTTACAGACCTCAGTCTTTTCAACAGTGTCTCTTTGAGCAGGATCCCGAGTCGCTGGCTCCCGGTCTCCACCTGATTTTGTCCGGGTTTCATTCTGTGTGAGCATTCACAAAGTTGGATCTGCAAGTTCTTTGCCATTTTCTTCCCGTCACGACGTTCAGTCACCCTACCCAGTTTGTGATCCGACAGTTTTCATGAGTTCAGTATTGTAAACTCTTCAACAGGAATGTTTTGCCACTTGGGACTTTGTCATCTTTGAAATTGCCCAAAGCTTTCAATACTTGAGTGTAGCGTTATTTTGGAACTACCTGTTCCGGAAGGAAGTATGAGAACCTTAATGAGGGGAGGCAGGTGTACAGGCAAATACTTGATCATGACGGTTAACTTCATCTCTCGAGAATCTTTAGAGGAAATTAGTAAGTCCTAAGGGAAACAACAGAATTTATTGTTTTAAATTATTATTAAATGGTCGTGTTTTGCTTACTTAAGAACTATTAGTCCTGGAAAAATAGGTAGAATATATCAGAAGATCTCTTTATTTTTATTTTTATTTTTTTATCCTCACCCGAGGACATTTTTCCATTTTTTGTTCAGGTAGAGTGGGAGGGAGAGAGAGAAACAGAGAGAGAGAGAGAAACATCGATGTGAAAGGAACACATCGAGTGGCTGCCACCCGCACAACCGACCAGGGCCGGGGACAAACTGCAACCGAGGTACGCGCCCCCAGCAGGAACCGAACCCGGGTCTCTCAGGACCGCAGGCCGACGCTCTAACCGCTGAGCCAAACCGGCCAGGGCTCAGAAGATCTCTTTATATTTATTTATTTTGTTAATCCTCACCTGAGGATATTTTTTTCCATTGATTTTTAATAAGGGAGGGACAGAGAGAGAGAGAGATCAATGTGAGAGAAACACACTGATTGGTTGGCTCCCACACCCTCCTCAGCTGGGGCCTGGGATTGAACCTGCAATCGAGGTGCATGCCCTTGATTGGGAATCGAACCCAAAACACTTTGGTGTGTAGGCCAACGCTCTAACCACTGAACACACCAGCCAGGGCACAAGAAATCTCTTTTTTTAAAGGGAAAAAGTTTGTGGCAGTTGTGATGACCCTCTTAGAAACCAAAATTAGTCATTTGTCTAAGAATCATGAAGTCTTGAATGACTATCAGATCATATTCAAAGTGCTATTAGTCTCATTTTCAAAAGTCATCTTGCTCCTCCCGTATTTTTTTACATCTCTTTATACGTCTCTTCATTCTTTTTTTTAAAAATACAAAATACTGTTAATTCACACTTTCAGCACTTTTTAAACGGAATTTTACATTGATCATTACTCCACAGTTACCCTCATAGATGTTCTGAAACGTACTGTGAATACTGGTGTGTTTCAAAAATACTTTGCTGTCGTCCAGTTTCTTTGTAAACTCTGCGGTACTGTCACTTTTCATTTAAAATCAACTTTTTCACAACCGTTTCTTAATGAACTTAATCAGATTAATTTCACTTAGTCACATCTGTTCATGATTGTTTCCCCTTTTACACGCCATAGAAATCATGAAATTAGGCTAATATGCACCATTATCTGCTGCAAAGAACAAACTCCAGTTTTGTATCTTTTAATTCCCAGTAGGAGATTACGGCTTGTTTTTCCTTAATGTGGAAAGAGTAGTCAACTCAGTGGATTTCCCTGCAGTTTTTGCCCAAAGGTTAATCAGTTTATTAATGTTTTTTCCATTTTTACATTGGTTCTAAAACATAACATGTTACGTTTTTGTTGATGGCAGTTCTTATTATAGTGTTAAAAACATTTCTTCAGTGAAGCTGTGGATAGAATAAGAAGGTGTTTTGGTTTTTTTTTTAATAGACTTTATATATGATTGCCAGATAAAATGCAATTTTAACGGTCCCAGTTAAATTTTAATTTTAGATAAATAATATTATTATTTTTTGTACAAGTATGCCCCGCAGTATTTTGCCATACTTAGACTAAAACTTTTGCACATGTACTACGTACAGGGTGGGGAAAAAAGTAGGCTCACCATCATGTGTATGGAAAATAATACAATAATTAATCCGTAATAATGCAAGAATAAGCTGTGTGTCATGTACTCACAACTGTACACCGACTTTTGCCCCACCCTGTATTTATATTAAAAAGTAATCGCTTATCTGGAATTCATATTGAATCGATGTCTCGTACTGTTTACACCTTAACCTGACAGCTGTGCTCACTGGGATCATGCAGCTGAATCCTTGGGGGGTTCCTTGTGTTTGCACAGGTGACGACGAGCAGAGCGACTGGTTTTACGAGAAGGAGTCCGGCGGCGCGTGTGGCATCACAGGCGTCGTGCCCTGGTGGGAAAAGGAGGATCCGACCGAGCTGGACAAAAATTTACCAGACCCCGTCTTTGAAAGTATCTTAACTGGTTCTTTCCCCCTAATGTCGCATCCCGGGAGAAGAGGTCAGTAGTGAGTCCTGATTGGTGGTACAGTGGGCTGTGGTCAGGCAAGGAACAGGTGTTGAGGGAGGACAGGCTCAAATGGAAATGAAATAACCGAAGTCTACGTTTCTCACGCTTTCCGATTATTACAAAGGTTGACTTGCGTTCATGCCGGGGCCATCGTGAAAGTGCTGAAATGATAGGGAAACTGAGAGGAAAGAAAAGCCTTAATGAGTAAATATAATCCATAGTCGTGCTGACCGCATTAGAACTCGGCTTGGCATTGGTTTCGGGCTTTTAAGTATTAGTTTGGCCTTTTCCCCACTATTCCCCGAGATGTTTTCTCTCTTCCAACTTACTTTTTGAATTCTGTAATTGATGGGATCTTATTCTGTGCTCCAGTGATCATAGACCCTCCTAAGCTGGGTGCTTTGATTTTTCCAGGTTTCCAAGCTAGACTCAGTCGTCTTCATGGAATGCCTTCCAAGAATATTAAAAAATCGGGAGGGACCCCTACTTCAATGGTAGGCGTGCTTTTCTGTTTGCTTTCGGTCATGTTTGCAAATGTATCCATTTCTGTGGAATAAAAGCCACATCCTCATCCTTGATTCCTATTCTAATGTTATACTTAAAAATAATCCATTTTTTTGTAGGCTACAAACTGGACCAGTGAGATTCCCCTATAAACCAAATCTTCTAATGCTAATAAATTAGTTACGTTTTGAACATCTGGGGAATGGCACTCGAGGGACCCTGGCTCCTGTCCTCTTCCCCTGGAGGAATATCACTGACGTGAGAACCTCTGATGAAAAGATGGGGCTGTTTTTGCTGGAGGACTGTTATTCGCCCTTTAGTCAGAGGTGAACCGGGCTGGGGAGCTTTCTAAGCATCTAGCTGGGCCCGGGGTGGGTATAAACTACTGTACGTTTTATATATTTTTCTCTTTTATGATTTTTTTTTACATTGAAACCATTTATGTATCACTTGCGCTGCCAAACTGCTAACGAAAGCTAGAGAATTTAAAACGTCCAGCTGCCACAGAAGTATTTCTTAATGTTTTTATTGTGACTAGTTAAGAGCTAGTTTTTACATGATCTGACTGTTGTAAAATAAAAAAAATAAAAAAATGCGACGCATTACCATTTATGGTTCATTTTTAGAGAAATCTTATATAACCAGCATTATTGAAAATAGTTGCATTTTACTCAGGGTATTTTAACAAGGGCTAAGATGAGTAGTAGGTAAGGCTGATGATTTTTGCTAGAGTTTGTATTTTGTTCAAGTTTGCTTCCTACGTGGATAATCTGCTGTGTATTGAAAACTCATTGTATTTTATACTATAGTATCCTTTGTACTGCGGACATCGTCCCTGTTTTAAACTAGCTACCGTGATGACTAATCTGTTCTAGTAGAATCATCACTATTACCTTTTCAATTATGTGCTTTGTCTGATACCTGAAACCGACCACAATTATTATTTTGGCTTAGAGCATATTGAAATCATGTGAAAGCTGATATTTCAACAAACGCTGTATGACTGTGAATCGTATTGTCATGTCCCCCAGCGAGAGCTGCGGGCCCGTCCTCAGAACGACACCTTGTGTGTCACTGTCAGAAACGCTCACGTGAGCTCACGCTCACGCAGCAGAGGGGAAAGAAACGTTTCTACCGATCGTATGACTTAGACCCGACCCTACGTGCGGGCCACTTGAGTTTTTCAGAATGATTATATTAAAATGATTACTATTTTTATTAAGTTCCGATAACTGATGGGAACTGTGATTCAATGCATGTATTTTTATATTATTGTACAGATTGTTAATTCAGCATTTAATGGCTACCTTAAGTCTGATGATTGGAAAAGAAACTTAAAGTTGACACTTCCTTTACCCAGATTTCGGCAAAGGTTTTAAGCGGGAACGTGTGACATCTTTTCAGTTTCTCATTGAACTGGAGAGATTAAAAATGATCAAGTGCAACTTTGAGTCTCTTTACCGTTGCATATTTAAAGTGATATTTCAGAGGTACAATAATGTGGTGTTTCGTAATTGTAAGTAAGCTTTTCTGTGTTGTGTCCTGTGCCGTGAAAATTCCTGACCCCTCCCTCCCCCCGAATTACACAAATGCTTTTATTTTATATAATGACTGTCTTTTGGATCTGAACAAGTCACTTTAAAACCTTGGCCTATGAACTTTGCCTTACCAATCATGAATCTAGATGAACGCTCTCTAGTTCTTGGTTCAGTTTTACCTATTTTTATTTTTGGTTCACTGCTTGCCTGAGCGTAGCTGGGATTTGTAGCCCATTTTCTAGGCTTATTGTGATCTCGCTGTGGTGTTTTATAGAAGCTATTACCACTGATAGGCTGGTTCATGGTATTGATGATACATGGCTTATCCATCGTGAGGGCTGCCGTTCCTCTGAATTGTAAAAAGGTGATTAAGTTTCACTTGATGGAGATACACTGTATATGTGTGTGTTTGTCATGAAACTAGGCCATAAACTGTTTTCCTGGTCTCGTTTTTTTTGTTTGTTTGTTTTGTTTTGTATTCAGAATTATACTGAAGACAATGGGCTTTTTCAGGTTTTCTTTCTCTCCACCCTGAATTATCCTTGTTTGGATTCTTAAGTACTGTAATCTTTTTTTTTTCCCCAATAAAATATCTGACTTGGGCAAGAAAGGTAAGAGTTCCAGTTTGTGCTGATATTTTTAAATCTCTACGCCGTGATTTTGTTATTGTTGTTGCTCGTACTGTCCATGTTATTCCGAACAGTCTTGTTGTAAAAATCATGATCTCACAAAACAGTCATCTTTAAACAGTACCCGTGACATCCAGTAATAAGAAATGAAATGAAATTCCTTAGACTTTCACATTGGAGAGCCAGATTACTTTTAAGAGAGATTATTTTCCTGAGCAAAGGGAAACACATTAAAAGAAGGGCGACAGAGGGTTTGTTTGTTTTTTTTAATTTTGTTTAAATCCTCACTGGAGAATATTTTTTCCATTTACCTTCAGATAGAGTGGGAGGGAGGGGGGAGAGAGAGAGAGAGAGAAACAGCGATGTGAGAGAGACACATCGACTGGTTGCCTCCCAAACGCCCCCACTAGGGCTGGGGACCAAACTGCAACCGAGGTGCGCGCCCTTGACCGGAACCAAACCCACTGCTCTTTGGTCCGCGGGCCGATGCTCCAACCGCTGAGCAAAACTGCCCTGGGTGCAACAGAGAGTCTTTGTCTCCAACAGCTGAGTGGTGACTGCACAGTCTCCGAAGGACATGACAGAAAAAGAATTTCTGCTGAAATGTTAATGCAAACATCAGGGGGGTAGTTTTCGACTGGAATTTCTGTTACTCACCACAGTTTATGTTCTGTAAAGTTTCTGCAAACACAGTTCGCGAATATGAATGCGCTCCCACGGGAACACCAGGGTTAGGTTCCCTGAGCTCCGATCTCGAGTTCATCCTGCCATCAGCGCATGGCCCTGTCTTAGTGCGTTTGCGTTTTGAAACACCCCATCCACGGACACTGGTGAGGCGTGGACGTGGAACCCGCGGCCGACACCCCGAAACTCACCCTGACCACAGCGCACCTGGCGCGCACTTTCTCCACAGGCACAGCCGCGCGCGCCCAGGACACTAGCCCAGCCAGGCACCGCGCCCGGGGATTGAGCGCAGAGAGTCACCGGCGGGAAGCACAGAAGTGTGAAAACTGTGGCACGAAATAAACCACAGAAAGGTCCTTGTTTCCAGCCTCAGCGATAGAACAAGAAGGTGGCTGGTGTTTCCTTTGACCCCCGTGGGGCGTGCTCTGTACCTGTTCCCCCAGTAGGTGGGATCCACAGTAGCCTGAACCCCTCCGTTTTACTGGACCTATACTCTGACCCCCCTTCGGGTGGTATCCATGTATCAAACTAGTATTTATTGAGGCTCTACCATGTGCTAGACCCTGGGCTGGGCCTTGGGGATGACAGAGGAGAAGACCGCAGGCGAGTTTCCCTGGCACTTCTGTTTAGTGAGTAAGACTGAACCTGGGGTGGGGGGCATATGAATACAGATAACTGGAGAAAATGACACGGGATAATGAGACAGAATTACAGGACATGAAGGTGACAGAGGATGTGATTCGCAGCTAGAATGATTCTCAGCCTCAGCCCCTCCTCCTCCGAGCTCTTACAACTTGGGGAAGAAATGTGGGAACACCTGTCCATTTCACAAGTCGGAATAGGTCCTGAACATCTCTCCTGACTCCTGGCCCAGACTGACGACAGCTTTATGATGTCACTGTAGGAGGGCCCGCAAACGGCCGAAGATCACTTTCGTTTATACAGTGTTACCACTGGTGTTTTTCATTTTTTTTTTTTAATAAAAGAAAGTTTGCATGTGCCAAATATTTATATGCTGTTTTGGTTTTTCCCTTTACATTTAATCATAATGTATGTTCTGAAACTAACATTATAATGTTGTGACAGTCATTCTGCTTCCATGGCTATTCAGATACTGCACAGGGCGGCCCGTCTTTCTATCACGTTATTTAAATGCATGAAATGCCGTGTTTCCTTCCTCTTATTTTTTTCACTTTGGTATTTGCATGCAAATTTTTAGATCTTATTAGTAAAGAAATGCCTTTATTTTTTACTTTTTCTTTTGAGGAAATGATCTATGGACTTTTTTTCATTTTTTATCTTCACCCAAGAACATTTTTGCATTTATCTTCAGATAGAGCAGAAGGGAGAGAGGGAGGGAGAGAGAGAAACATCGATGCGAGAGAGACACATTGGCTGGTTGCCACCCACCCAACCCCAACCGGGGCCAGGGACAAACTATCCAAGATACATGCCCTTAGCGGGAACCAAACCCGGGCCTCTCTGGTCCGCCGGCTGATGCTCTAACCGCTGAGCTAAACTGGCCAGGGCAATCTATGGACTTTTTAATAAATCTTTAAAAACATTGAATTTGCAAAATTTGTGGTTTTTAAAAAATACTTCTAATAAAGATTATGCTTATCATTTGAAAACACTTTTTGTATCCTAAGGAACCTTTGAAATATGTTCTAAAATGCTTTTTGAAGAAAAGAAAAATTAAGAGTGCTGATTAGTAACCATTTGGTTTCACTGATGGAGACTGAAGACCCCTTCCCCTTTTTGTGCTTGAAAAGGGTGGTGGCATTGCCAGAGGCCCCCCCCCCCAAAAAAAAACAACAACAGAGGAAACAGAAATGCTGCAAACATTGCACTTTCTTCTTAAACTCTGGTTGTCTCCCTTTTACCTTGCTGATAGACTTCTGATGGTCTATAAAACTCAGTTTTCTAATTTGCCTTCAGATATGTCAGATGATAGCTAAAGCCAGAAAAGTTCAAAATCAGTGATGGGTAGAGAACACGTCCAAATAATATTTAACAGGTTCTTTCTGTACTGAAGTCACTTGCAAATCTCTCAGCCGAAGGTCAGTTTGAAGACCCGAGAATTCACAATGAGCCCCAAGTGAAAGGTGTTCCCTGTCCTTGTGAGCGAATGCCAACCAG